CAGCTCTGGGGCTATTTCAGCCTTGAGAGGAACATTTGGGAGAGAAAAAGCCAAATCCTTGGCAGCAAGAAACACCTGTAGCTGTTATGCCAAGGCCAGGACTAAATCAGATGCAGTCCAGTGACACATGCGGTAGCGGGGATTCGGGACTGTGCTACTTTCCAACAGCAAAACTGTTTCTTTTTAGCAGCAATCAGGATGAGCCCTGTTGAGGGATGCCAGATGGGAAAGAATGGGCAAAAGCCATGCTTGGAAAACGAAATTCAGGCGTTACCCATACATATTAAGACTGGTGAGCATTTCTCCATCCTCTGCTACAGTAAGCAAGCCTGGAAATGTCTGCCTCCAGAAGACTTAGATCAACCAATTGACAAAAAAATACTTCACTGGCAAAGAAGGCTTTTATTTTCTTTTTGCTTCTTTACGAAGCATGCAGAAAACCTTTAGGGCTGCTTTCCTTTTGAACAGCAGAAAGAAAGCAAAGTGAGGAGGCAGAAAAGGGGTTTTTCTGCTTATTTTTTGCCCTTGGGATGCATGGGGAACACCAGTCCTTGAGTCTTCTGGAGATCTATTGGGTGTCTCAAATGATGTTTATAGCCGACACTCAAACCTTAATGAATGGACTGCTGAATATTTAACCAAGATGTCCTTTCTTCACAGTGCTAACAAGTCATTGGAGTTTGACAAGCACTAAAACTAAACAAAAGACAAAGAGTTTTAAGCGGGGCTTGACTTATTATCCCTTCCATTCACCAGCCATTCAGGAAAGCATCCCTAATTCCGCCGAGTAATTAACCTCTTCTTTAGATTCCATTGAGGTCCTGGAAACAAAGTGTGCTTAAATGCCTTCCTGAGGTGAGGACATCCATTCCTCACCCCCTTGCTGGGAAGATGTCATCATCCCCTCTTTCTGTCCTCCACACCGGCCAAGACCCGAAATCCTAACCCAAAAAAAACCGAACGAAGTTGGAAGAAGCGGGTGGGTCACCGGTGGGTGCCTGAAGTGCTCTCAGCCTGCCAGATGGGCTGCGAAAAGAGACGTGGAGGAGACAAGCATCATGGAGGTGCGAAGCCGAATCCCCCACATCATAACACAGCCTGGCTAAATGCCCTCAAACATTAAAAGCAGGCAAGCAGGCCCCGAAAGCAAAACAGCTTCTTTCAAGCCAAAAACTCTCTCCGTCCTTCTGTGAAGCCACCCTGCTCCCGAAAGCCGAGTCTCCTGCCTGACACCGCAGCTCCATGGAGATGCTGCCCCCCGCTCCCACCACAAGCAACACCTCCGGCCAATTTCCTTTGCTTTTTGGGCAGCCCCAGCAATTTTCAGGTCAGACGCCCACCCCTGTCAGCCCAGGAGAAGGTGTCAGTCCCCTCAGCTCTGCATGGGGACCACAGGACAGGCAGGCACACCTCAAACTGTCTTGTCCCTTTGGAGAAGGGCTGCAGAGGCCATGCAGCTCGTGACACTGGTGCTGGCAGTCACAGCACCCCTTGGAAAGCACAGGCAGTGGCTTTCGCTTCTGCCTCTCCCTTCTGCTTTGCAAATTGAAACTTACTGGGGAGAAATAAGTCCAAAAGAGTCAGATCCCCTCACCAAGTCCCACCCCTGTCAGGTAAAGGCTCTGCTCTGGTGCAGACACCTCTCTCAGATGCAGTTTTGAGTCCCAGCTGCTGATCCAGCTCTTCATCCGGCCAAGATCCCCCCCAGCTCTCTGAACAAAGAGACCCCATTTCTGCCACCCTTTGCAACAAGGCAATGCTTCCTCCAGCCCTCTTCCAGCCTGCAGTGAGGATGTAACAGCCCTGGGATGAGGAAGCAGGTACCCGGTGTAACCATCTCCTGCTGGGACACGGGTGGCTTGGCTGACCCCCAAAATCCCCCCGCAGGGCTGCGATGAGCCAGAGCAGCCACGCTTGGCTACCGGCAGCAACAAGAGCCCAGCAAAGGAACTCACAGCAGGGAGACATCTCTGCACACACATCCATCACATTTCCCTCGAAGCACTAACACTGAACTGTGCAGGCCATGAGCAGGACCAGGTCCGGGGGCAGATGTGCATGACAAAGCCACAGTGAGGGTCACAACCGACACTAGGGACAAGCAGCCACGCTCCACCTGGCTTCCTTTCTTCCCCAGATTCAGCAGCAAGATGACAAACCTTTGCTTAAGCTGCCTCACTCAGTGGCTTCTCGCAGCAGAGCCCAGCAGATGCAGCTCCAGTCCTGCTGCTCCCTGCTGCTCCTCGTTTGTGCCGCTGGCTGCATTTGCCCCCAGGCCAAGCCCAGACCCACCAACAACATTTCCAGCAGCTGGGGAGCTTTTCTGCGTCTTGCAAACTGCATTGTCACCAAGAAAGAGCCTCAGCAGCACAGCATCCCCCAGGACTCGGGATGCTCCTCCTGCCCAAAGGCTCCACAGCATCGGGAGCGCAGGAGGAAGGAGGGAGCCAGGGCTCACCTTCAATGGCCTCTAAAACGTCACTCGTGCCACCAAAGGACAGGGGAGCAGGGATTGGCGCTGGTGTTAGGCTGCAAATGAGCTTTCACAGTGTGAGTGACAGAAAACAAATTTTAAAAGGATTAAATAGAAGGGAGAAGGGAAGGGCGGGCTCTGGGCGGATGAGGGCAGGTCGGTGCAGAGCCCAGCGGGGCAGCCAAGAAGCTGAGCAACGCTGGCTCCCGGGGAAGCTATTAACACCCTGGGGGGGGGTTTGCTCATGGGCTTGGTGCTCACAAAACAGCAAAGGGTACACACACAGCACACCACGGGGCCCCAAAACACCCTGTTGCTTAGGGACAAGGCAACTGGAGAGGGCAGGGCAGACAGGGGCTGCAGGGAAGGAGTGGAAGCACTCGTAGGACTGGCAGGCACGCGTGGGAGCGTGCGTGCAGCAGGACACACAGAAGGCGTTACCTCAATCTGCCTGTGAAGCAGGGTGGCATGGTGCTTGGAGAAGCAGGAGCAAGCAAAGAGAAGGGAGAGGCTCCGGCACATCTGGGCCAGCTGGCTCCAGCCCAGGCAACTTTCCTTGGAAGTGCTCCTAAACCTGGCAGCTCCCCTGGAGCAGCTCTGGCACAGATCCTATCCACAGTGACCTCAAGTAGCAGCCTCCCCACGCACAGGCAGTGGCGGGGAGCCCACCTAGCAGCCCACAAGCACCAGAAACCCTTGTTACCTGCCCATGGGAGAGCAAACCCAGCCATGCAATGAGCCAGGAAGGTCCCAGAGCAGGACAGGAGCGAGCATCCTGCAAACGAAGCCTGCACTGACACGAGCAGAGCGCTCACCGAGGTGTTCTGGCACTGGATGCTGGTGCTGTTGAAGCGCAGGGCGGTGACGCGGGTGGTGCTGCCCGGGATGTGGAAGATGCACTCGTAGTTGCGCTGGCCCGACTGCGGCTGGGGCAGGTTCTTGGCCGTCAGGGTGATGGGTTTCACCACGCCCACGGGGATGTAGATCTGCGTGGAGGGCAGGATCTGGGGGCAGTCCTGCAAGGGGAACAAGAGGCAGTGAATGAGAGGGGAACAGCGCACAGCCTCCCCCAGCACCCCCAGAACACCCGCCCTTTGCAACAGGGCAATGTACTGTGAAAATACCACCCTGAGCACATCCTTGAGGAAATCCTTATGTGCAGCAATCCCGAAACAGCATCTCACCGCTACGCCGACCAAAGCCCTGAGCACTGGAAAGGAAAGCACGGTGGCAGGGGCCGTGAAGTGTTTTCCACAGCCTGGGTTGATCCAGGTGGGAGGTAGGGACAGGATTCAGCTATGGGACCTGCAACCTGGCACCACAACAGCAGCACACGTTTGGGTGAAATGACTGGTAACGAGATGGGCTTTAATGGCATCATTGCAGTCAGTAGGTTTCAGAGTTAACACCCACTGGGCTGTGCATCATCAGCCCTCCTGTCTTCCTTACAACTGCCATCCCCTTCCTTCACAAGGGGACAGAAAAGCCTTTTCCCCCTTTGACACTGCAACGTGCTCCTGCAGCGTTGCAAAGACCCTGCTCTGCAGTGAATTTTGCTGCTGCTGCTGCTTTTATCCATGGCCAGCTCAAAGCAGCATCACCCCAACCAGTCTGGCTGCAGGCGAGGGGATACCGGTGAATCCAAGCTGGGGGGGCAGCAGGGTCAGGACCACCACACCAGCCCCCCACACTCCCTGGGGAAGGAGTCATCGGGAGGGCAAAGCACTCGGCTTTTAATAGCCACTGGCTCTCAGCTGCTGCTCCAGGGGAGCAAAGCACAGGGGAGCAGGAGGGAGCAAAAATAAATGAGCTCAGGCAGCAAAACAGCTCCACGGCCCCGACAGGGGCCACTTGGACAATAACAGCCTGATGCAACCCCACACTGGCCTTGCCGAGGTCTCGCACCTACCGCAGTGACTCCTGAAAGCACTGGCTTGAAATAATGGCAAAAAGGGGAATAAAGAGTGCTGAAACAAGCTGCTCCAAAGGCAGAAGGGGTGGCAGCAGTGCTGGGGGTGGACGCAGCCACTGCTCTCTCACAAGGCTGCTGATGGCCACCACGCAGGGGCCACCAGCAGCCACATATGGCCAACACTGCCTTTTGCCACCCTGTAGCGAGCCAGGGACAGACCCTGCACAGCACCAGGCCTCATGGCAGCCTGTAAGATTAATAACTTTCAAACAATGCTGAGAAATGAGAAAGGAACTGTTTCATTTAGCAAATATTGACAGAAATCCCCAACTCGTTTTACTCTAAGTTTCCCGTTCTTTGCAAGCCTGCATTCCTCAGAATAAAGCAATTTTTAAGGGAAGAAACTCTACCCGGGACAGAAGGAGAAGTCCCTGCCTGCTTGATCCCCCTCCACATTGCAGTGGGACCCTACATGTGGCACACACCTTCCCTGCGGGGCAGGGACACGAGGATCAGCTCCCATCTCACTCTTCTACACCTCCATCTCCTTGTTTTTCTGTAATTATCACTGCTGGAACAGTGGGTGAGCCCATATCGCCCCAATGGGGCTACACGGATGCTCCCCAGAGCAGTGCCTGGGCATGTGGTCCCCCTCCCCGTGCAGTCAGGCTCGCAGTTGGAGTCCCCCCCCGCACCATCCCTCGCCGGCAGCGATGCCTCATCCAGCAAAAATGTCAGTCCACGTCTCTGCAGGAAGCACCTGGAGCTGGTGGGCGCCGGGGTGCCCGCAGGGGTGGGGGCACTGGGACAGCTCATTTCCTGACCGCTGACAAAACCTGGCACTGCCCGGCACCGACATCCCCTGGGAATGCTCTGCACAGCCCACACAGCTCCCTGTCCTGCCCAAAACAGCCCCTGGCTCCTCCGAAAACAGCTGCTGGCTCCCAGGAGCAGGGAGCGACAAAGGCATGGGATGAGCAGAAGAGCAAGAGCCCGACGCACACCTTCTCAAACATTGCACAACCCAGATCTTCTCTGTTCAAACTGTTTTTCTAGCTGGATGAGAACACAAGGGTGTCCAGGTTTGCTGGGAGAGGAAAGAGCTTCAGAGTCAATGCTGAAAATGCTGCAGTTTGGGTTTCTCTCGTAGCTTCTGCTGTGCTAACAGCAGAGATGGAGATGAAGGCAGCCTGGGGCTTTTGGGGTCCCTTACAAAGTCCTTGGCCATCCCTGCTGCCACTCCCAGTCACACACCATGACTGGTGGCTCCCACCTGCGCCTTGTTCCTGCCTTGCCACCCCCAGAAATCCAGGCAAACATCCTCAGCATGCCCAGGACAGAGTGCCCTGGGTCGCTCTTTGCATTTTCCTACAAAACAGCCACTTTCCCACCCAGGAAACCATGGTGAACCACCCGTGGGAACCAGCAGAGCCGGAGTTACGCTGTTAACCCCCATCCCTGACCAGTGCCCACCGCACTCCAACCAATGCAGACAGACCAAATCCTGCCTAAAATAACCCTCCCAGTTAAACATCCTCCCACAGAGGGGGACACACACCATTAAACTTGTCCAGCGGTGCCACGGGCTGGCACCAGTTCCCACCACAGCGCCCTGCTGGGGACCGGGACGGCCCCAAAATGGGGACAGGATGTCTCATCCCAGCCCGGACACGCAGCCCACGGCAGCGGTTGGTCTGAGGGTGTCTCACCATCCCTGCCAGGAACTGCTGAGGCCACACCAGGGTGCAAACAGGCTGAGCCGGGCGCTCCAAACCTCAGGCCAGGCACTGCTCCAGGTCCCGGTGCAGCCAAAGGGTCTGTGTGGGGACAGCCTGCGTGACACGGGAGTGACACAAGTCCCCATGCAGCTGGTCCGTGGAGCGGTGTGTATGTCCCAAACACCCTTTGGGGTACAGCCAGATGATTTTGGGAAAGGAGAAGAGCCCGGCAGCCTCCCCACGCCGTCGGCAAGGGGAAGAGGCAGGCGAGAGCCGCCAGGCTCCAGTGGTCTGGCCACCACGCGTTGTGTTTGCAGGAGCGACGCCAGGGCTGGCTGGAAGTGTGGCCTCACGAGCAGGCTTCTGGGATGCCTGGGACAGCCCCAGCCCTCGCCGCATTTCTTCAGGGTGCAAACTGGGAGAAAACAGCTTTTTTTTCATCTTTTCACTGTACTGAATCCCCCACGTGCGGGGCCGGGCTTGTTCTGGCCCATGATCGCAGTGCAACCACCCCCTGCACTCAGGTAACACCTCCGGGGAGGTGAGGGATGGAGCCAGAGCCCAGATTTTGGCTGTTTGGTAGAAAGGGACAGTGGAAAGAGGTGGGAAGAGGAAGGGGAAAAAAATTAATTTGGGCATCTTGGTCACAGATGGTTCCATCTGACTCCACGCACGCTCCCAGCCCAGCAAGGAAGCAAGGGGACATGGGGAGCACAACAGCCCTGATACAGAAGGATGCCCAGATTGCCCAGGAGCCCGCAGGTCCTCAGCAAGGACAAGGCCAGCCCTCAGAAGACACAAATGACACAGGATGGAGACTGACTGCTCCTCCCAAGCGGGGACATGCTGAGGTAGGCGTCCTCTTGGTGCCAGCCAGGACAGCAAAGATCTGGAGGAACATTTCGGACACTTGCTTTCACACATGGTCTGTGAAGCAGAAACAAGCCCTTCTTGTCCACCTTTGCTCCCAGCCCTGGCCTCTGCTGCAGCTCAGAGACCAAACCTTCTCCAAGACGACTCAGGTGAATGCTTTCTCCAGGACAGCGTCCACTCACTGCCGTGAGGACACCATGCGTCTCTGCTCCCAGCAACAACTGTCAGACAGCAGGACCCTTCCCACTGGGGCCGTGCACAGGAGACTGGAAACCCAGGCAAGCTCCACCAGAGCCCTCTTCCAGGACAGGGATGGGGAGAAACCTCTCCTCCCCAAAACTCTCCCTTCTGGACCCAAATCAGCATCTACTGACCCAACCTCACCAGCCAACAGTGCCACCACAGGCTGGGGATGCCGGGACCTCCTGCGAGCGCACTGCCAGTGACGGGTTCCCCGGTGGTGGCACGGATGCTGTGCAGGATGAACCCCCGCAAAATAACACATTTCTCAGCAAAGCTTTTGAGACAAAGAAGGCGTGAGGTGCAGCAAAATGGTTTGTTTTACGGATTTCAACCTTCCCCTCTCTGCAAACAAGTTGTTCCGCAATGACAGTTCAAGCTTGCTCCCTTCAAAAACATCAAAGGAAAACGCTTCAGCGTCTCTGCCTTTGTTTTTCCCTTCATTCAGCCTAAAGTGCTCTTGGCTGCGCCCGGCTCCCGAGCAGCCTCTCCTCAGCCGACACCACCTCTCCCCACCGGTACACAGTCCTGCAGCACTTCCCACTGCTTCCCACACAGCCCAGCACCCCAGACAAGGGAGTGGGAAAGGTTTCCAAAGCCGTTTTCCTCTCTTCTAAACCCTTCCCCATGGGGCACAGGGGCACAACAGGACCAGGAGCCAGCTCGTGCGGCCTTACCTCAGAAAGCTTGACACGTCCCTCCAGGAAGGAGCAGTCGGCAGCGTTGTGGGTGCAGATGTGGCGGTACTTGCACCAGTGGCAGGGGAAGGAGCCGTTCACGCAGGACAGACAGCTGTGGAGAGAGCAAAGTGGCAGCTTGAGGGCAGGGGCAATCCCACAGCATCCATAGACCATCCCATATCTGTGGGACAGCATCCAGGGGCAATCCCGTATCTGTGGGACTGTATCCATAGGCAATCCCATATCTGCAGGACGGCATCCAGGGGCAATCCCGTACCTGTGGGACAGCATCCATGGGCAATCTCATATCTCCAACTCCCCATGTGTGGGGCGAGGGCTGAGCACAGGGATGCCCACACACTCCAAATACCCAGGATTTGCCTGCCAGAGGAAAGGGCCCTTCCAGCACCACAGGGTTTTGTGTCCCAGCCGCCCTCCTCTGATTGGCAAAACTGACCCTGCCCACCCTGGGCAGGGGCCGAGCTCCAGACTTTGGGAGCTTTATTTGGGTTTGCTGAAAGGCAATTTTAGCAAGAGACGGCAGAACAAGGGCTCTGCGCCACAGGGAAACAGGGGAGAAAGGGCTGGATTAATGCAGGCTCATTGAGAGGGAAATTATAGCTGGCGAAAGGTTGGGTCAGATGAACGTTTCGGGACTGTAGTGCCTTTCAGCCGCTCACAATAGGTTGTGTGTGACCCCCTCCCTCAGCCCCCCTCATCCTCAGCTCCCCGTGGCCGCGTGTGTGTGTGTGTGCATGCTTCCACCCCCTCTCCAGACCCAGACATGGTCCTCTCTCCCCAGATCCCATCTTTCCTGGGGGATACACTCAGGCAGCCAGGGATGCCGGGAGCCCCGTGCTCCGCTCTGCACCCCTCTTCCCACAGCAATGAGCCCCAAGGACCCAATGCTTCTCCCCCACACAGGAGGGGACATGCAGAGTCCCCTCCTTGTACCACCGCCCACGCGAGCAGCACCCCAACAGCCTGTCCCCTTGCTAACCCCCTTGCTAACCCCCCCAACAGCATGCCCTACCAGCACCACAAGACATCCCTGTTCGCAAGCACAGGGGATCCCATGGAGCCCCACAACCAGAGGGCAGCTTTTGGCCCCCCCCCCGTCCCGAGGTAGCAGCGAGGTCCCACGTTGATGTGGAGCCTTCACGGGACGGTTCCGCACAAGGCATGGCCTGTGCAGCACGAGCTGCCCTCCCGAGGGGGAGACAGGAGAATGCCAAGGCATGAAGGTAGGAAAAGTAAGAATAAATAACAATAGAAAATAAGAAAAAAATATTAAGAAAAATAATAATAAAGCTGGCTTTAAAAAAAAACCAAACCAACACACAAAAACACCCAGCAGCACCGTTTTCCTCCCTAGAAGGCCCATACCTGCGTTCACTGATCCAAGCATGAACAGGATGGGGCCCAAAGCAATTCTATTGAAACAAAGGCAGGATCTTCCCCTCAGCACAGCGCGGGCAGCCCTGCCCAGCCTGATCCTGCTCCTAAACCACGCGCTACCGCTCCGCCTCTGCATCCCAGGACACGACAGGGGAAACAGCATCACCGTGCGGGGTGGCACGAGGAACCCCTTCCTGGAGAGAGGGGGCCTTGAGCGGCAGGGGCTGGCACGTCCAATTGTCACCTGGGAGCTGTGGGGACAGCGCAGGGTGCAAACACACACGCAAGGGCCTCGCTGGGCCACTGCTCCCTGCCCGCCCTGGGGTTTCACACACCATTCCATACCCAGCCACAGCTTCCCAAATCCATGAGCGCACGCTAAGGAAATATTTAATTAAGCTGCTTGCAAAGGGGGCTGGAAGTCATTTCCATGTTTCGCTCACATTTTCACTTACAAATGAACAGCCCTTTTAGCTTTACCCACAAATATGCTAATTGAGATGCTCCTTATGCAAATATATGCAATTTTTATTTCAGCTGCAGAGATTCAACTTAAAAGCAGAGCCGTAGCCTCCTATCTCTGGTTGCTTTGATGGAGGGAGGTGCAGAGGGTGGGTGGGGGACTGGGGGGCACAAACAAAGCCGAAGGACGGCCCTTGAGCCCTTCTCCTCCCAAAAACGGCTCAAGCAGTGACTGGTGGGCAGGAAAATCCAAGATGTGGAGGCAGCAGTGCAGGGAAATCAGGGGTTAAACCTCATGGAAGCAGAGCAACCACAGAGAGGGCATTTAAGAGAGGAGCTTGAGCCAAGCCACGCGTCAGGGCATGACCACCAACCCACCCATGAAACTGGCTCGCTGCAAAGGCGACACGTCAGGAGGTTTTCCAGCCCACCAAGACTTTCGGGGTCAGCAAAAAGACTCCCCAGACTCCCTCCACCACCTCTCAAGGCATCTCAAAGCAGTTGGGGGCAGTTCTTTGGGGACAAAGCCAAATCTTCTCTGTTTTTGGCCCCTCCTCACCCAACGGTCTCCTTTGCCATTTAACTCCTACAGTTCCCAGCCGGTCTCTACTTGCCAAAAGCAGTGCATACATCCAAATCATCTCTGGTTATCCTCCACACACGCCCTGATGGTGCAGGGACCAACCCCCTCCTCCTTCAGCCCTCCTGGCTGCTCCTAACTTAACAAAGCCATTTCTAAAGGTCCATCCTGGAGATGGTTTTCACAGCCTCCCTTCTGCCAGTGATGCGCTGAAATCCCATTTCCAGCCCACCCCGGTCCTGCTGGCCTCGGCGGGGCCGTTTGACCCCCCCAGCTCCCCCAAAACCCAGGGCTGTATCCTCAGAGCATCCGTGTGCCGCCGCTGCCTGTTCCCAGCGCAGGAGCAGGTTGCTCGGCAGCACGGTGCCATCTGTGCCGTCTCTCTCCTTCCCACGGTCAGGCACTCTTCCCTCATCACTTCTTGCCTAAGAGGATTTCATCACTCCTGATAATTAGAGGGAGGCTCTCCTTCGGGTGTGATGAAGATCCCCCCCCTCTTCCCGAAGTGTGTCGGGAGTGCGAGAAGCCCAACCAGGCGGAAAACCCAGGCTGGGGGTGCAGCGCAGACGAGGACCCATGGCTTGCTCCCCATCCACATCCTCCCCACCCCTTCTCCCAGGTGCAGAGGGACAGGGGTGCGAGCATTGCACACACGTGTGCGTGCATACACAC